AGACGAGAAGCGAGCGTCTCTGAAGTGGGACGGATGGAATTGTCGTCAGAGCCAATACCCACGCCGTGAGACTCACCACAGATACTGGGCTGCCCTAAGTTAGACGAAAATTACCCAACCTTCAAGGAACAAAGGCTGTTAGGTTTCATTTATGACGCTGCCGTAGCGACACCAAAATGCAAGGGATGCCATTTAGATAGGTTGCCAGGACACTTTACAATTGATGAAGTGGTTTGAGAAAGAAAACGAGAACAGACAGGGGGGCAGTAAAGTTTCGGTTTTTCAAGACTAAGGAGTTGCAAGATACGGTACGACACTGATAGCGTCACGATGGATTTTGAAGCTGTAACGCTTGCAGTTTTTTTATAATTTCGTGGAAGTTGACATACGAATTCTCCCGTTCGTACTCTTAGTTTTGATTGACCTCTTTTATAAAATTTGGACGTAAAACCATGCCAAGCCTGACATATTTGAGTAACCATACAGACGATTGTCGCCTAGATATCTATATGTCAGTATGTGGCGGACGAAGTATATAGGCCCGTGGAGACACTAAACCACAAATCCAGGACTTAAATAGCTCTGTAAGGGATCGCGATCGTATGCTCTTTTGACAGGGGCCGCCGTTTTAAAAAAGTTTCCCAATTAAGGGTCCAGTATTGATGAATAAAGACGAGGGGAGTTAGCAAACTTGGAATACACATATGGAATAAGTCTTCTTATTTTATAAAGCGATTAACTTTGTGTGTCCGGTGTATGTCTGTATGTGTGATGTATGTATGGTGTGATGCTATGGGTATGTGTTGTCCTCCGCAAAATGAGTGAGTGAAGAAGGAAGCCTGGTATGGGAAACTACAACACACCGCTAACAGATCGAGTAGCTTACAGGATGTTGAGACATCAAGGTTTTTGTAGCAGCGATAGTTGTGATTACACTTCTTTAGGCTAGTATCAAACACCTGGTTAGCACACTTCGTTTCATTCCACTACTGCAGTTGGCAGAAATTGGAGGGATGTGGAGAGAGGACGAAGGATTGAGGAAGGCAGCGAAAAGATCTACCGTCTATCTATGATTGAAGTCCGTTCTACTTGCTATGAAAACACCCATTTGGTTGACATACGCGTCACTTCTGGAGGTGTTTGGTGGTCACAGCAGGAAGGGACAAAGCGGAGGACTAGAAAGCTTGCGCAGGAAAGGATAGGTCCGGCGGTTACGGGCGGGGACTAATCTGAGTTACTAATAAATCAAAGCGCACCACTGGCTGTCAAGATCAGCCAAGCTAACGGCACAGACAAAGACAAACGGAGAAGAAAGGGGAGAGACGGCAGATGCTGCCGACAGCTTGCAAGAATACACGATCCGCTATTCAGCCGAAAGATGGAGTTCGGCTTCCTAAAGCCGCCACCGTGCATGGGTCACGCCAGCCACAACGGAGTCCGTAATCAACCACAACCGCGCGGCCACTTTATGCTTGACAATAGCTTTACCGCACCTGGCGTAACGCGGCGCACGTACGCGGCTCTCAGGCCTTGCGAAAACAGTAGTGCCACTCCGGGGAAAATTCAATAGAGCGACGCCATATAAAAACCTTTCTGACACATTCATATTCATCCCTTTTTCTTAACGTTAATCAAACGCTTCCAATCTTCTCCGATTGACTCACACTTTTACTTGTGCCTTCGAGTCATTTGTTATACCCATGTTATGATAACAAATTAACACTATCCCATTGAGATAGGAATGATCCACCATCAGCACAACACTATCCGCAATGATGGTCATTACAAGAACATCTAACGCGAAGGCTACGACGACAACTGTGAAACATCAACCACATTCGGTATCCGTCTTCCTTGTGATGTAAAAATGCCCAATACAATTTCAAAGGACGAATTCACGATCAGAGGGAAAATCGAATTAGGAAGAATTCACCTGGTTTCTAAGTGTGCGAACTGAAGCACAATTTGCACAGGAGGAGTTGACCTCGTTGACCTATTGAGGCTTAATACCGCCGCGGCTGGTCAGTGCACGCCCACCGATCACCTGATCACTCGCCGCAGGTCTATACGTGGCGAGTGATTAGATAGGTGAGAGAGCGTAGCGTTGAAGAGGGCACAGCGATGATAGTCGCATCAATGCTCAAATCAACGGGCAAGGAAGTGGTCTCATTTCTCAGGTTCTGGGCCGTTTCGCATGGTTTTTCCTTCTTTAGGGTACCACTCACCATCGCTAACTTAATTTGAAATGGGTAGACTTCCCATCGTGAATTCGTCCTTTAACAAATAAAAGAAACTCAGCTACTTTTAGCAAAAACAACAATCACTGGAGGCAAGATTCGCGCAACTAGAAGCAACAACGTACTCCTCGGTTACACTGCTTCTCCAACAGGAATTACGAAGGACTACATCAGATGCACAACGCTGAAAACACATCCTCAATGAAATTACCGCTAGTAGAACACGATACAGTCAAATATGACACGTATCACGATTACGCACTAGTATCACTCTCACGAAAATGAAAATCACTTAAACGATTGGTCCGAGCCGCTACTCTATATTGTAATTCCCATGCCGCCGACAAGATTTCGCAACGCACAGTTTGCTATATAAGGGACCCGGAGGGGCCTCCCCTGTCATTCGCAATCGCTTCTCCTCCCACATCACTATACTTCTCGATCTCGACTATCCTCTTTTCAATGCTTGGATGTATGTACCTTCACCTCGCATCATACTTCCCAACCGTTGATATTCCTCCGTCACAAAAGAAAAAAAATATCTAATATTTCGCACTACCCTTTCAGATATGTCTGACGACCAATACTATGACGATGTAATGTATGATGACGACAATGACTGTGAGAATAACGACCAACTGCGTATTGAGGGCGATAACAACAGCTACACCGCAAACGACGCTCCTGACCAAGACGAACAATTCAGCCGCCATGAGCCTCAACATAATGTCGCCATGGAACTCAACGCCATCCACTCCGCAATCATACGCTGACAAAAACAGTGACAGACAACCAGGTGACTCCACATATCAACATTACTTGTTGTAAACCCTGACGTTAGGAAGTTTCGAATTTTCATGAAACTCTACCTTATTTAAGAAACGAACACAGGGGGAAACTTCATTCCCAGAACCCCAAACAGAAAGGAATAAAAAGACAACTAAAAAGGTATCGCCCCTACGAACACCAGATACTCTACAATACTTCATTGATTCATAATCCAGGACATCCTACGGGACATGGAGCAACGCATTGCTCAACTCGAAGGACGATCCCACCATCTCACGAATGTTATCCAAGACTGGAACCGCCAGCAAGCTCAACGAAACCGTCGAAGTGGAAACATCTGGAACAGGAACGAAAATCCAAATGCAAACCGAAATAAAGGTCACCTTCTCCCGCCAATAGACGCAACCAAGTCAACAACTATTGCGCGTTTTGTGATGACGATCACTGGGCCTCCGAATGTCCCCAATACCGCACACTTTCTGAAAGAAGCGAACGATGTCGCGTCAGACGTAGATGCGAACGCTGCCTAAGAGAGGCTAACCATTTGGTTACCTCATGCTACCCAGACCTGCAATGTTTCTTCTGTAGGCGCAACCGTCGCATTCACCATGAACCGCCACCATTCGGCCTTTTGCCCCCACCACATTCCAATGTAAACCTGTTTTTATCGCTGTTCGAAGTTGAGCATTCGTTGGATGTAGTAAACCAACCCATTTTCGCTAATTTCTTACATGTTTCTTCACTACTAGACAATAAACGAGTTAGTTCAAGTCACGTCACAAAACAGAAGACACTTCCACTCAGCAGTAAGTACTATAATATCTCCGCACTCACGGCTCCGCCTGCAATACCCTATTTAACGCGAATCTATGCTCAGGTTCATGCCATTTCCAACCTCTCTCCCATCCGCACAGCCCTAGGCAACTCTTCAATTTTAAAGTCACAAAACAAGATCTAGAAATACAATATCACATCCTAACTGCATTACTATCTGAAGCCAACGAATTTTGTTCTCCATGGATTTTCCCAATAGACAACACACAACTCCAAATATTTATCACAACCAAAACATTAATGATAAAAACCTCAAACATAAAATTGAACAACAACGAAACACAGTATGGTCTAATTACACAAAGGCATGCTTAGCCATAGACGCAATGACAAATCCCCATAAAACGAATGAATCCAATCAATTTGACGATTTTTGGAACGACATACAAGGTTCGAGCACGCTGAAGACAACCGCATCAACGATTTACAGCTTGAAAAAAAGACTACTAGACTTAAGATGTCAAAAAGTCGTCGCGCGACATTGTGCCGTACATTATGCACCCTATACAATCCAACTCAGCCTTACCCACGAGCAACTACGAACTACATCGCAGGAGTTCCCGTCCCTATCGAACCAAAGAGAAACCTCCTCTCACCTCGATACCACTCCCTTAGGCCCAATAACAGAGTGGGTAGTCAAACCATTTGATAATGCAACCACAATCGGAGCGGACAATCTAAATTAAAGCATTTTGCGAAGACAAATTTACCACTTAATATGTATAAGCATACATACGCTACAAAAATAATAATACACCTCCAGCTAAAAAATATATATACACACCCCATTCCACACCAACATACATTAATTTTAGATCCTTTTCGTCCACTGTTATAAAATCACGACAAGCACTGACAGAAAAAAAATCATGAAAAATCAAAAAAAAATCAGCACAAGACCACCTCCCAGATCAACCAATGGAGAAAGGCCCCACCCCTTGCCCCTCCCACACCCTACCATATATACGCAACACATTCACCAGTCCAGACATTCGTGACTCGATACCCGCCATCGAGCCTCTTGCTCTCTCTCTCTCATGTCCTCCTCTCACTTCAACATCACAACTGCGAACAAAACTTGACAAGGAAATTGAACGCTCTTCAACAACTAATTAACGATGCCAACCAATACAGCCCTACATGGACCTATCCATCGGGGCTACCCGAATTGAAAGTTTACGTCGCTACAAACAAACTCAAAGTGACCAACTCAAACAACACATAGAAGACCAGACAAACAAAATATGGACACTTTACGAATCCTACCTACATGCGATTACATCGCTACCCGAAAACAAATTGTACGAAGAAGCCTTCCACAAATACTGGGAGGAAAAGGAAGGAGACGCGAAGCTAACACTCGCAACAACTATCGCTCAACAACTCGACAAAAGAGCTACAGAATTAGAATGTCAAGACATCGCAATCAGACGCACACAAAATAACTCGATACACCAAGATAATTACAATCAAGAAACTTTCGTACAACCTTTCAATTCATTAGCAATTGAACAACGACTGCTTAGCAGCGACCTGAAGGTGCCCGAATTCCACGGTAATCCTGCTGAGTTCGGGCCCTTCTGGGAACTCTTCGAAGAACTAGTACACAAACGACCGTATTCGAACATTGGCAAACTTTCAATCTTGCTAGGCTGTTGTAAAGGCGATGCAGCACGATCGTTACGGATGATTCCTCGCACGGGGGATGCGTACGAAAGAGCAATTCAGCCAACTCAAGAGTCAATACGAAGACCCCAAAAGAATTACCATTCAAGTGATCCGTCAACTCAAATCAATGAAGGCATGTCACGACGACCCGCGTACTCTGCGAAACAACTTGAGCGATGTGCAGGCTATAATAACTACCATACAAAAACAAGGAGAAGCAATTGACTCCACATATATGACAACTATGGTAATCGAAACATTCCCCAGAAGCATTCAAGAAGAGATCGCCGGAAAGAATTTGACAATGGCACAGAGTGGACCAAGCGATCTCATTGCCAATTCAGGAAACATTGTCAAACGCAAGGAACATCTCGAGAGCCGTAACGAACAATTGCGCGAACAACATTCCCTTTTCCACAAACGAACAAGCGAGCCTCTTCAACTACAATGCATTGGTTGCGGCCGCCCTCATAAGTTTGATACATGCTACAAATTTCAAACCATTCAGCAAAAAACTAATCATCCACAAACTTTGAACGTATGCTGGAAGTGTTTCAATACACAACACAGAACGATATTCTGTACCAAACCTAACTGCACACACTGTGGCGGTCCCCATAACCCCGTCATATGCTTACGCAAAACTTAAGCGATAACCAGGTCCTCTCGACCCACCACAAGATTCAACAAACGTTTCGGATACAAAACAGCAACTTTCAATAACTACGCCAAACAGCGCCCTCTGAAGCCTTACAGGCAACATCGCTATTCCGCCTGGCGCCCCCATACACCAGACGCTACCCTAAAATTAATAGCCTGCAACAACGCCCCTCATGGCGACACTCGTCACTTTCGCCACTTCGATTCCGACCACGCGAGCACAACCAACGCTCAAATAATTCACAGCCTCGCAGGGACCTACACGCCCCGTCACCTGATAGAAGCAACCAGCCGGTTAACCTTCCACACAACGATAACTCCATACAAAGACAAAACCAGCGATCACCCACAAATAGAGTTAGATTCGTTCCCTTACCGTACACTCCCTCCACTACTCATATCAACTTCCAGTCGCATATCAGCCGCCACAGGAATTTCACCCACACTTTTCTAATTACAATAAAAAGAATATACGCGCTCGCCTAATGGTCGTGCCTTTGATAGCCAGAAACACCCACACTAATAAAGAAGAACAAGTTTACGCCCTCTTAGATTCTGCTTCGGATCAATCATTTATTACATTATCATTAGCAGAACGCCTACACCTCGCACCTCACTCCGAAAACACCATCATTGTAAACACATTCGGGGGACGTGCAGAGAAAAAACATGTCCGGTTTATCGAAACCTTGTTGCCTAACTCTCAGGGACAATCCTTATATGTTAGGTTGCTTACCACAGATAACATCACAAATGTCTTAACCATAATAGAGCTACAACCAGAAGATAAACATTTCTTGGAAGAAAATTTCTCTACTCCTCCAGAGATGATACAAGATTTAAGAACAGAAGTCGTTCCCGACATCCTTTTGGGAATAGACTACTTCAACACCATATTGCTAGTACATGAACCCACACTAAGATTACCTTTAGGACTATTCACGACTCCCACATTTTTCGGGCCAGTAATATCCGGATAATAACAATAAACATCGACAATTCCCAACCGTCACAATTGTATGACAACATTATCAGTACATACACGACACAGGGCTCCTTCCACGGGCAACCCAACATGGACTACTCCGACCTGTGGAAGCTTCCAGGGATTGGCATCGACGAACTCCAAACAAATGAAGAACTCAACAAACAAATAATAGCAAATTTTTGTTCAACTGTGCAACTCAAAACGGGAAAATCTATGCACAATTTCCTTGGAAGTCAAACAAACACTGCTTAGCCGACAATTACAACCTAGCACTGGGCCGACTCCATCAATTATGTAAAATGAGAATCAAGAATCCCGAATGCTGGGAAGAATACTGTAATATAATTCAAGAACAAAAGAACAAACACTTCATCGAAGAAGCACCCCAAATATCAAAGCTGGTTAACCCCTTGTATTGCATACCTCATCAGGCCGTAATAAAAGCTACAAGTGCAACAACAAAAACTCGAATTGTCCTAGACGCTTCCTCCAAAATGAAGGGACAATTAAGTCTGAATGATGTGATTCACCAAGGACCACTGATTCTACCAAATTTATGTGGCATGCTACTGAGAGCCCGATTTGGTCCGAAGATAATGATCGCCGACGTTGAAAAGGCATTCCACATGATATACCTACAAGAATCTGAACGTGATTCAGTAAAATTTTTATGGCTCAAAAACGCTGCTTTACCACCCACCCTGAAAATATACAAATTCTGCGCTTCTATCGCCTACTTTTCGGCATTAACGCATCACCATTCCTTCTCGAGATTTCTATACAATACGGAATCGAGCAACAGAAACAACAGAATACCACAATCACACAACGCTTGGTTGAAAACCTATACGTGGACAATGTCCTCATGCTTGACAATTCGACTCACTCTCTTCAAACATATCATACATGCAAGAAGATATTTGCGAACATGTCCATGAATCTTCGCCATTTCATCACGAACGACGAAATTTGTAACAAGTCGATCGGTGAGAAAGATAAATTACCGCAGCATCAGCCAAAATCTTAGGCATTCCTTGGGATCACTCATCTGATACCCTCTCCATTTTGTGTAAACTGACCTATATCTCACAAACAACTAAACGAAAAATATTACAAGCAACGCACTCAACCTTAGACCCACTAGGGTTCCTCACACCGCTACTGTTACCTGCCAAGATCCTCCTACAAGGTCTGTGGAAACAGCACCACAACTGGGATGAACTCCTACCAGAAACATACGACAAGGCATGGAAAGCGATATGCGAGCAGACCGACGGGTTCATTTTGAATCTCTCACGTACAATATTGAGCAATACGAAAGCACTCAATACGAACTCCACACCTTTGTTGACGCATCGGCAAGAGCTTATGCGACCGTTGCATACCTGCGCTTAATAAGCCATCAAGGGAAAATCACAAGCGCAATTGTAATGGCCCGACAGCGTTTAGCACCGATTCATGCGAAAACAATGACAATTCCACGGTTAGAACTCTTGGCACTTCTCATAGGAGTGAGACTTACAAACTTTTTGTTAAAAGAACTTAAATAACATATCACAACCACCAGAATCTATAGCGATTCACAGGTAGCTCTACATTGGATACAATCCCAAACGAAAAACGGAGTATTCGTGGACAATCGTTGCACGGAAATCAGAGGAAAAATACAATCATGGTCGAATGAGCACTCAATCCTGAGCCACTTGCACTATGTTCCTTCCGACATTAATCCAGCAGACTACGCAACAAAAGGACTCACGAAAGAGCAAATTCAACATCAGCCACTTTGGTGTTATGGTCCTCCCTTTCTGAAAGAAGACATCAAAGTGGCCTTCACTTCTAGAGTTTTCCTGGCAGCCCAAAGACGAGGAGTTGCCAGAAAGAGAAGTTCAGGCGAACTCAACGATATTCATTAACACTTCACTCAAGCAATTTTCCTCCGCTTTATTGACGAAATTTTCCAACCTTAAAACTTTACGGCACACAACAGTCATTATTTTGACATTTCTCAAACTCCAGCTTTACGACAAATTTCCTAAAGATACCCAAGATATCCTAGCCACCAAATTACCGGAAGTAACGAAAATTACTGTGACCATACCTGTAACACTCCTTCAAGCTCAAGCTATAGAAATAGCAGACCAACTTCTCGTCAAACTCATGCAACGCTCATTGACAAGAGACGATCGACGCAAGTGGGACCACTTAGGATTGCACAAAGACGAAAACGATCTCCTTCGGTGCCGAGGTCGTTTAAAAGCTAAATACCTCACGAGAGACATTCGAGAACCAATTCTCCTTCTCCCAGACCAACAGTTAATTACTCTCATAATCCAACACACTCACGAACGCTGCGGCCACCAAAGCGTTAACGAACTCTCGCTAATTTGCGTCTTATGTACTGGATACCGAAGGGGAGACAAATAGTACGGAAATGCTTGCAAAGATGCCTTTCATGCAAGCGATGGAATGGCAAACCATACTACCATGCATCCTTTCCACCGCTGCCGTCTGCACGGGTACAACCAACGAGACCCTTTTCTTACATTGGCATAGACCTGGCCGGTCCCTATAAAGTAACCGATTCTGGAAACAACAAAAACAAACGATGGATATGCCTCAAAACTTGCATGACTACACGAGCGGTTTATCTGGAAGTAGTCAATGACTTGACTGCACTCCAGCTAATCCACGTCCTGCGACGATTCATTTCCCGTCGAGGACGACCCCAACTCATTATCTCTGATAACGCAACAAATTTTAATTCGCCAACGATATTATAACTACTACCACTGACGAACCTCCCTCTCAAAACGCCACGTTACGAAATTTCCTAGCTAATGAGAAGATACATTGGAAATTCATAACGCCTCTCTCCCCTTGGAAAGGAGGTTTTTACGAACGCATGATCGGCATCATGAAATCAGTTTTAAAACGAGTATTGACACGAAAACCGCTCAGTGACACCGATTTCAACACATTGGTAACCGAATGCGAGGCAATGGTCAATTCCAGACCTTTGGCGTACATGATAGACGACTCCCTGATAATTCGCCCGATAGACTTCCTCGTTCCCAACACCAACCTTACTCCAATCACTACAATTAACATTGAAACAGATAATAACGATTCGGATTACGTCCCGCATCTGTCCACAAAAGACCAGGCAACGCAAATTTTCCACAAACAACTAAAATACTTTAAACATTTGTGGGCACTTTGGACGACGTCCTATCTACAACTACGAGATTTCCACCAACTCCGAACAAAGCAAAAAAGTTTTACAAGAAAACAGCCACGAATTGGGGAAGTAATTCTCATTATGGACGAGGACTTACACCGTACAGACTGGTCACTGGGATTGGTCACACACCTGGTTCGAGACCAAGACGGCATCGTGAGATCCGCTAAGCTACGAACCGCGACATCGCACCTCGAACGTTCAATTAGTATCGCTATTCCTTTAGAAATACACAAAGAAGCTACACCGCCACCTCGAAACAATAAGTCAGACGCCGAACGCGAAGTTAATGATAATAACATAGAAGGAAGCCAGCCCGGTCGACCTTCCACAGCCGATCCCGCAGAAACACCCGCGACAAAGGAACTACGGTCACGACCGTTTCTTCCTCGCAGCGCGAAAGTAAACAAAACCTACAGTAGCCAAACCATGATTTCCACCATGAAACCTCTACCGCCAATTTTCAGCTGTGCCGTATCATGGACACACTGGCTCACGATAGCATTTGCGATAATCTTATCCCAACCTAAACATTTGCCAAATCAGAAGGCAAGCCTACAATGCATTACAGGAGGAATTAAAATACAAATTACAACAAGCAGAACAAGTACAAGTTCGTGGGAACGAATACTGCAATGAGATAAAACAACCTGATCAAACAATGAATGTTCAGTTTCCTCCCGAAATTACACTCCATACGTACCATATCACTTTAAAAGCGTTGATAGGGAACGAACTTCAAGCAACACGCTAGGCATGCCCTCCAAGCCCGTTTTGTGAACAAATTCAATGTTATTTCTGCACAGAAATGATCTCAAACCCTGAGTGCTGGCCAAGGATCGCAATAGCCGTCACTGCTACATTACTTTATATCATCGCGATAACTGCCTACGTCAGTTTCAAATTACTACGCAAGGTCCTCCGATTGTGCTCATGTACCTGTTCCAAAATAAATTGTATCTTCCCCTACTCTCTATTCAGATATCGCAAGAAAACCTTTACTCGAGATTCGAATGATGACATCCCGCTTCTAACCATCGACAATACTATACCAAATGGAAGACAACAACAATGCTGCGGCTCATCACCATCCTCGCCATGACCATTCCGCTCATATCCGGCTGCCAGCAAACTGTGCTCATACCCTACAATGTGTCTCAATGCAACCCACTGGATAAGAATTGTAACAATAAAACAACCATAATTACAGAACTTAACCCGATGCAGCCGGAGGTCTGTATCCAATTAAGACACGGCGACCAACAACTTCATGTTATGCGTATTACACTCAAAGCATTAATTCTTAGATGTCGCAAAGAAACCCTTTATTATACAAGAGACACTATCACAAACGTTCGATACCAAAAGCGCTGCCCAGGTATGGGCACATGTAAAGATCTCAAATGCGCTAAAATTAGCTATGACACCTACGTTGAAGAACTGCAAGAGGCTAATAATTTCACAGGCGTCACCTACTGCTCGGAATTCTGTGGCTGGCTTGGATGTTCTTGCGGCTTTCCCTCCTCAGGATGCCTTTTTTAGGATCTATCACCTTCCGACCGATAACAACGTTTATGAAGTATGCCAATGCCCATCTTGGTTTGAGACGATTTCGCTCAACATACAAGCCCATGGGGCTAAACACATTTCTCAAACATTCGAGCTAAGATATACCAGAAAACAAACGGCTAACACAACCTTAGAAATTACATCCTTCTCATTTCCGCCAATATCGCTTCTACATAAAAGATTCCTCTCTAACAACCAAGTCACAGCTCATATTAGACAAAATACAGAATCTAGTTATGCATGTAATTCACCACAACACGAACCAAGTGACACCAATAACTGTATTATAAAAGCTACATGTAAATGTAACCCCGCTGAAAACTCCGTTAACTGCTATTGTACAAACAACAACATTTCACAATTCACACGACTTTCAAACCCTCTACCCCTACCTCTACCAAGTGGTTTGACAACCACAGAAGGCCTGAATAATATTCCCACAATAAGAACAAGCGCAACATCAGTAGAATTACTGCTCCTGCTAGACAAAAATACCTACAATATTGTTCAGGAGATAGACAACTTTCAATCTCACATTCTCCCTCACCAGCTGCTTGGCTGTTACAGCTGCGCTAAGGGCGCCGTAGTTACGATTTTTTGTGAATCGAACAATGCAGATTCCACCGCACAAGTGACTTGTGGCCAACAACAATTTACTCTAACTTGCACAAAAACTGGAATATACAATGATGTGCTTCTATTTTTCAACAGAGCACGAATACACAAACTTTGCAAGGCACAATGCGGATCACATGTAACCATATTTGAAGTCAAAGGCACCCCCCATTACATAAACGATCCCCCTATGGAATTACATGCACTTATGGAGCAACAACACCAACACAACAATAACCTCCTTCTCTATCGACCTTGCCCTTCCAAATTTCTCTCACTTTCTCGCAACCTGTAAGCAGTTTCTAATTTATTCTCTAGCAATATTTCCAACTCTTATCACCGCTCTCATGCTCACTCGCTCTTTCCTGTGCTCACAAGACTCTCATCCCAACCCAGGACAAACATCACGTCGTCATCTTCCACTCACTTTTTTTCCTCCCCTCCGATTACTCTTCCTTTTTATCAGCATCTTTAAACGACTTTTCTCTATCATAGTTTTCATCATCCGCTTTCCACTTCGACTACTGACAACGTCACGACTCGTCAGTCATTAGTATGACACGGTTTCCACATCGCTCATCAGTCACGCCGCCACTTCTGCATCGACCACGACACACCTCTTCATCGTCACGCAGCACCAGCACCCACTTCAGCCGATCACCTATACATCTTCGATAGTGTAGTTGTATAGTGTAGTTTCGTTAGTAGAATTGTATAGTATGTTTTCCCTTCTTTTTTCTCTTTTCTTTTAGCGTTACATTCCATATATGTTTCATATTGTATGCTTATTAATTTACAGCACACGAAACTAACACAATAGCGCAACACTACGATCAATACAATCTGGTGGCGGTGAGGATGCAAACGGCAGGTCTCTTGCGTTTTCACGACTTTTCGCCGTCGTGTGGAGTGTCATGACTCTCCGGTCATGATTCGGAGTGAGCATATTGACCGCCACACGTCCTAGTCACTGACGATCGATATTTGGAATTTGAAATTACCGCTAACAAACCATTCCAACAAGACATTCCAAAGGACCGCCTACTCGCCCCGGTATAGATACCGCCCTCTTTTAGGGGTATAAAGAGGGTGTCCCCCGACGGCGAGGGCAGTCTCCGCTCCTTCATTTCTTTCGAGTTTTTTCAATCTCCTTCTCACTCTCCCTCAGGGGCTCTGCCTCAACAAGCGACTACGGTCGCACTCTAAAGCTCTCACTTCGATTCCAGCTTGACACCTACACCGCAGTGAACTTATGCCAGTTGGACTCGCCACCTACAACACTAAATACGCTAGTAGACGACAATGAAACAATTAGCACGATGGTTGACGATTGAGACACACACGATACAAATATATCAACAACTCTCCTTGTATAAAATTATTTTGTATATGTAGTGTGTGTTGTAGTAAGCGAATAAATGATTTATTCAACAAACTGTTCACTACCACTGAATCAAAATAAATTCGCCCTCTCATGGATGGACCAATCCCCAAGGGTGACATATTGTCTTAGCAACTTATGCTCACCAACCAGGGTTATGCTATCCGAGTCTCTCAGCGGAAAGCTCACGACGTGTCGAGCACGATCGGCCTCGTAACATCTAATCAGTTATCTGCCCAACTTTTAGCAGTAAGATCGACTTACTCGTCTGTGAGCGCGCTTTTTCGCAATGCATTGCGTACTCTCTGCGACCGTACTAATATCATGTCGATTTCTCTACACGCCGCATTAGCGACGCATCCTACTCCTACCATGTGCGCTTTGCTGAACCGCCAGGATATTTCGGCAATTCACTTGGGCGGCGGTTATGCCCAGGTTCGCCGTTGCGTGGCCCTGCCGCCTTCATCCCTGCGTCTCCTTCCTTTTAATGTCACCTGTTACAATCAACCGCTTGTGGAATTGCGTCTTCCCAGTGGGTCGGTCATGCGGACATTTATAGAACCCGGTACCGGCATTCTTCTCAAACAGGCCTTTCCAGTGGACTGCAAAGACGCTTCCCCATTTATCTTTGATCCGCACCTTTCCTCACGTTGACGGCACTTGGTCCTCTGTTCCTCACGCGATTGTCCAGATCCCCTCTCTTCCCCATTTAGCTTTAATTCTGGTGGCTCCTACTTTAACCATTTTTTAGAACCTTATTCTAACTAATTTCAGTGAGGTCACCAGCGACCAGCAGCTTCGAGAGTGGTGAACGGCGCGTGACCATCGTCGCCTTCTCCTTCATTTCATCCATGCGGAGGCGCCGCAGACGGAAGGCCAGGGACCTGTCATTTCAGCGGATATTTCGGAAGCGGCTCCAGTCATGCTAACGACCGAGCTCAACATCAGGACGACGCCATATCCGCTTTTTTTCTTTT